CGCTCCCCGCTCCCCGCTCCCGCGCCTCCCCCTGCGCGCTCCTCTCCCTCCTCCCTCCTTGCTTCTCAATCTCCGTGTCGTTTTTGTCTCGGACTCTCTTTGCCTTTTATTGCTCCCCCGCCCCCCTCCCCGGCCTCCCTCCCTCCCTCCCTCTTTCTCTTTCTCTCGCACACATACACACATACACACACACACATACACACACCGCGGCCAACGATAGTTCATCTCCACCTCCGAAAAGGCCCAGATAAAGGGGCAGAACCCGCCCCAGGACCCCGGGGCCAGCCGGGGAGGGGGGGGCGGCAAACCGCCGCGGGCAGCCCGTCCCCTGCCGGCTCCCGGAGGGGCCAGGGAAACCCGGACGGCACCTCCTCACAAACTTCCTCCCCGGCCGGACCCGTGCCAACTCACCGTGCGCGGGGGGCGCGGCGCCGGGCGGGCGCAGGGGGCGCCCCTGCCGGGCCGTCGGGCGTCTACCGGGAGCGGCCCCGAGCTCCTCCCGCTCCCTCGACCGGGGCGGGGCAGGGGGTGGGGGCCGGCCGGCGTGCGCCCCCTGTGGGTCTCCGAGGTCTCGGTCCGGGCCGCGTGGCAAGTGCGTCCAGTCCTGGAGTCACGAGCCGCTGGGACCTTCCCCTCCGGATCCCGACCAGCGAGGCCGGCCCTGGGGATGGCCGGGCCAGAGTCCGCGACCCTGGATCCTGGCTCTCGCGGGCCAACAGCAGGCCCGACGCCTCTCTGCGCAGGCGGCCCGGGGGCCGCAGGGGGTCCCCGCCGCCGCGACAGCCGCCGGCGCCGCGGTCCCGAGTACGAGCCGCTCCGCGCTCTGCCCGCGCTCGCGGCCGACCGCCCGCGTTCCCCAGGCGCGCCCCGCACCGTCTCAGCCCCCGCCCCCTCCTCCTCTGCCCAGGAGAGCAGGGATCTGTGCCGGGAGGGGGCTTCTTAGTCGCCCTCTCCCACCAGCAGCACTTTTAAAAGCATTTAATCCGCCCGGCGCAGCCTTCGGAGGTAATTGACAAAGTCCTTAATCTGCGCCGTTAACGAGCTGCTATTGTGGCTTCTGACCGGGAGGCGCCCACACGGCCGGACGCCGCGTTCTCTGCGGGCCGCCCCCTCTCCGGGCCGCTGCAGGAGCCGGGACGACTGTCCCTCCCCCGCCCCTTTCTTCGATCCCTTCTGCTCCCCCCAGCTTCAGAATAGACACCCCCATTTCCCGCCCCCCGCTTCTCCCCGAAGCTGTTTTCCGGCTCCCGGGGAGCCTTGGCCCGCCACGCTGTTCCCTGGCACCGTCTTCGTCTCTTCCCCACCGGCTGCCAGTCTGTCGCCCCATCTTCGTCCCTCTTCCCACCCCTCTCCAAGCCCCACACAGGCGATGCAGGCTGCCCAGCCTGCTAGGTCGCCGTGCCCTGAGCCAGGAAAGCCGGGGGACCCCATGCCCCATGCCATCTAAGCAACTGTCACTCAACCCCAGCAGCTGGGTTCACAACACGCCAGCTGGTTGTCCCCAGTCTCCTCCTCCTTTCAGGGCTGCCGGCTGCCCCACCTGCAGCCCCACCACTCTGCGCCCCACAGGGAGGCTGCCTAGGTTGCTGGAGGGGATCCCACAGCATTGGCTGGGAGGCAGGGGACCTGCACAGAGTCCAGGCTTTTTCCCGATGGCACCCTTCCCCCCCGGGGCCCCTTTCCTGTGGGTTCAAGGGATTGTCGGGTGACCTGGGGAGGGGGCATCTGGCTTGGGTGGAGGGGTGTGGTAGAAAGCACAGAGCCCTGGCTGTGGGGCCTGGGGCAAGCTACTGCTCCTCTCTGAGCCTCAGTTTCCCCATGTGTACCAACAGGTTAACAGCATCCTCTTTGGAAGAGCTCTTGTGAAGTTCTAAGAGGGTGCATTGAAGCACCTGAGCAGATTTCAAACTTTCCTGCTATGACCTTGGGCAGATTTCCTGTCCCCTCTAGCCTCAGTGTCCTCACTGAAGAAATCAGGACCTCCCCCCTTCTTGACGGGGAATTGTGAAGTTTACAGGCATGTGGCTGATACTGCAAGTCTGTGATTCCGATTTGGGGAGAGGATGTAAACCCCAGATGTGTCTCTGTACAGACAAAAGATCAGCCTGGGGTGGAACCCTGAACTGAGAATCTGAGGCAGGGTGGTGCTAAGGGTGATGAATAGAGGTTCAGGGCACATGCTCTGAGTGGGCAGGGAGAGCATCCTGAAGAAGCAGGGGTGTGAGCCAGGCTTTGAAGGCAGGATGTCTGTTCGCTGGGGAAGAAGACATTGCAGCAAAGGCAGGGCGTGGAGAGTGACGGTGGGCTGTGCGGGCAGGTGCAAGCAGGAGGATGCTGGCTGGAGGATCTGCGCCCAGGCCTGCGTTAAGGATGGTTTGACAGGTGAGCGGGGGCCACCTAGCGGCTCCTCCCGGCACTGCTTGCTGCAGGTTGTCTCACCTGCTCAGGGACAGACCCCTCACTTTCCTGCCCTTGAGGGGGTGCAGTGAGTACCTGTGTCAAGGGCGATCTTCACCTGTCACCCCCTCGGCACCCCAAGAGAAGAACCAGCCCTGGTGCGGCTCTGGCATGAGCCTGCAGGCATTTGCTCAGTGCTTTACACACCGTATTCACTTGACACTCTTGGGGCATAGTCTCAGGGAGAGGGGAGGGCCACCCTCAGCTCATTGACCCCGAGATCTGTGTAAGAAAAATCGAAGCTGACCTCACAGAGGGGACAGTGCCCCCACCCTTCCCCTTTGACAAAGCTAGTGTCCGCAGAGCCCCAGAGAGGAGCCCAGGTGTGTTCAACTGGCCAGGGCGGGATCAAGGCTATCTGGGTACCAGCCAGGACCTCGGGGCCACCAGAACTCAGGACCCCAGCTTGCATGGCATAGACCTGAGGCTGTCCCAGTGCCCCCACACACTCCCTGTGCATCCACTCACCCTTCTCCCTCTGGCTCGCCGATTCCACATGTTCCTACTTTTCCTGCCCACGGGCACCTAGACATGCTATTGGCCCCACCAACAGAAAACTCCTATCTGGGATTTTTAGTTCAAATTCCAGAAAGACTGTGATCCGTCCTGCTCATCCTTTGGAGCCAGGACGTCAATTGTAGATCATCAGCAGGCCAATAACAGCTGTCCTTGGTCAGGTGCCCACCATAGTCTGATGGAGGAGGGCATGGCCATGGGGGTCCTGATAAAGGGCACCTCCCTTAGCAGGGAGTGGGTACAGGGCAGTGAGTCATGCCGGCACTGGAGGGATGGAAAGGAAGAGAACCAATGAAGGAGATAAGAAAGTGGCCAGGGACACCGGGTGACAACATTCAGGGTGCTGGTCCTTCGACTGGCTGCGATCTGTTGAGCATCACCCCTACCCTCAGCTCTGTGCTAAGCACACTGCATCCTCCCTCCTAAGTGGGAGCTACCGTAATCCCCATTTTATGGATGGGAAAACTGACTCAGGTAAGTTACATAAAATGGTATAACGAATAGCTGCCATTCAGCATTTTCCATGTGCTGAGTACCATTCATTAGCAATACATCTTATTTCACGTCATCCTCACCGAAAACCCACAGGTGTGACCATTTTGCATCCCCATTTTATAGATGAGGCAACTGAAGGTCCGAAAGGTTAAGTCATTTGGCCGAGATCACCCAGCAAGGGATGGGGCCAGAATTGGAACTCGGGTCTCTACGCCACCCCTGTCTCTGTCGCTGGCTTCTGTCCTCTTTGTCATCTAGAGCTGGCCTGAGACATGCAGTGATGTCTCAGCAGCAGCTCCGCGAACGTGGGCCGAATGTCAAATGTGCTTGGCTCGTGGGGCCTGGGGCCCTGCCCGGCCAGGAGGTCAGGACCCCTGGCCCTCGTCCACGCAGCCTCTGCCCCGCACCGCCGAGGGCCCAGGGTTCTTGCCGTAAAGCTGTTTCAACTTAACTCTGACAGTCACATTTATCATTAAAAATAAATTTGTCTTGGCTTCCCGTGGCATGGAAAGCTACTGTGCAGTGATTCAATGGGCTTGTCACCCCTCACGGTTAGGCACGGTTAGGCTGAACAACTGGATGGTCTCCAACACCAGCTCCTCATTTTCTGCGGCTGGAGCCAGAAATGTACAGTGGGCTGACATTTAATTTAGAATCCAACATACCTTGACATAAACCTATAATACAGAGATGGGGGC